TTTTCATATTTATACAGTTAATAAAACATACATAATAAAAGCGATTTTGTAGGATTTACACTCACCGGCCACTTTACTCATTAACGCAAATATCTATTCAGCCAAGCACATGGCAGCAACTCAATGCATTTAGGCATATAGATATGGTCAAGACAATATGCTGAAGTTCAAACCGAGCATCAGAATAGAGATGAAAGGTGATTTAAGTGACTTCGAACGTGGCATGTTTGTTGGTGTCAGATGGACTGGTCTGAGTATTTCAGAAACTGCTGATCTGCTGAGATTTTCTCGCACAACCATCTCCAGGATTTACAAAGAATGGACCGAAAAAGAGAAAATATCCAGCGAGCGGCAGTTCTGTGGCTGAAAATGCCGATGCCAGAGGTCAGAGGAGAATGGCCAGACTGGTTCGAGCTGGGAGAAGGGCAACTGTAACTCAATCAACCCCTCGCTACAAACTAGGTTTGCAGAAAAGCATCTCTGAATGCACAGCATGTCAAAACTTGAAGCAGATGGGCTACAGCAGCAGAAGACACACTGGGTGACACTCCTGTCAACTAAAAACAAGAAACCGAGGCTACAATTTACACAAGCTCACCAAAATACAACAGAAGATTGGAAAAAGGTTGCCTGCGACATTCGGATGGTATCAGCACAAAAGCATGGACCCGTCCTGCCTTGCATCAGTGGTTCAGGCTGCTGCTGGTGGTGTAATGATATGGGATAATTTCTTGGCACACTTTTGGCCCCTTAGTACCAACCGAGCATCATTTAAACACCACAGCCTACCTGAGTATTGTTGCTGACCCTGTCCATCCCTTTATGGCCACAGCGTGCCCATCTGGCTACTTCTAGCAGGATAATGCCACCATATCACAAAGCTCAAATCATCTCAACTGCTTTCTTGAACATGACAATGAGTTCACTTTACTCAAATGGCCTCCACAGTCACCAGATCTCAATCCAATAGAGCAGCTTTGGGACATGGTGGAACGGAAGATTCGCATCATGGATGTGCAGCCCACAAATCTGCAGCCACTGCATGATGCTGTCATGTCAATATGGACCAAAAAATCTGAGGAATGCTTCCAGGTTGCCAGGTCTGTGAAACAAAACTAGCTGATCACATTTTTCATGGTTTTTCTAGTCTCAGCCTCAGACGTCTTGCCCACGTACCGTTGGCTGACCACCTGATGCATATCAAAGTCGTCATCGGATTGTTTGAATTCTATAGGATTTCTGGGAGACGTGTGTGTCGCATTCTTTAATGTTCTGCCTCGAAACAAAGATGCCATGATGCCAAACCCCCTCGTGGAAGAAGAAAGCGGTCATGTTTACAGTCACCAGATCTCAATCCAATAGAGCAGCTTTGGGACATGGTGGAACGGAAGATTCGCATCATGGATGTGCAGCCCACAAATCTGCAGCCACTGCATGATGCTGTCATGTCAATATGGACCAAAAAATCTGAGGAATGCTTCCAGGTTGCCAGGTCTGTGAAACAAAACTAGCTGATCACATTTTTCATGGTTTTTCTAGTCTCAGCCTCAGACGTCTTGCCCACGTACCGTTGGCTGACCACCTGATGCATATCAAAGTCGTCATCGGATTGTTTGAATTCTACAGGATTTCTGGGAGACGTGTGTGTCGCATTCTTTAATGTTCTGCCTCGAAACAAAGATGCCATGATGCCAAACCCCCTCGTGGAAGAAGAAAGCGGTCATGTTTACTACTGTGACAATGAGCACTCATCAGGATCAACTAAACGCTGGATTTACAAAGTATGTGAAATATGCCAAATTCATGGCATAGACTCTTTAAAATACAACCAAGAGTATTACACACCGGTCTGACATTGTGGGGACATTTCCACGCCCCTAAATATGATGCAGCACAAAACGAAACGTGTTTGGTTGCTTTACCTATCAGTCATATGGACTCCTGGGCAGTCCTTTGCCATTCAAAGCGGCCAAGGTTCCCAGACCTTCTGCCGTCATTTGAAATAGCCTGAGAACGCTTTAACCCGCTGACTAAAAACCAACCCACGGCAACAGTGTAAAAGTAGACTAATTCCGCGGGAAATGTGCAGACGTGGCAACCCGGTCCAGCACCTTGTTGAATCTATGCCACAAAGAATTAGGGATAGTTCACCCAAAAATGAAAATTACCCTATGATTACTCACCCTCACGCTGTTATGAAATACCAGACTCAGAGACAAGATGGAACGTTAAACCAACAGGTGTGTTTATTAACAGTTTTGTAGCAATGGATAATGGCAGGTGAGTTCAAGTAAATAGACAGTCTTGGGTGAATTAATGAAGATACTGATGAGTGTTTTCTTTGTTTTACCAGAGGTGGAGAGCACACACAAGATTGATAAGCTGATGGAGATTGCCAGAGGCGGGGGACAGGTGAGTATAGCAGGTTTGGAGTGAAGAAATCGAGGGAGACGGTGGATAACACGAGGGAGACGAAGGAGATCTTGGAAGGAGGTAAGTAGGAGATCGCGGGTAAGTAGAGCATATGTTTTGTGTCCTTAATCCACAAGGGAGACCACCAGTTATGGTGGCTATGGCAGAAGGTACGGATGTAATACAGTCTATCTCCTGGATCTTCGTTTCAATCTTCGATTTCGTTTGGTTCTGGGTACATATGTGCGGTTAGGAGGGCACCCCGGTGGAACAGGATCAGAGACACTGGCGGCTGCACTGGCTGGTTCCTGGATGATAGGAGATGGTAAAGTTGAAGCGTGTGAAGAAGAAGGCCCACCTGGCCTGCCTGTGATTTAGCCATTTAGCATCATATAGGTATTTGAGATTTCGATGATCAATGAGCACTACAAACGGGTGGCGGGCCCCCTCCAGCCAGTTTCTTCATTCCTCCAAGCATAGCTTGATGGCCAGAAGCTCCCGGTTCCCAATGTCATAATTTTGCTCTGCCGGGTATAGCTTTTCGGAGAAGAAGGCACATGGATGGAGTCGAGGAGGAGTCCCTTGCTGCTGTGACAAAATGGCGCCAACTCCTAAGGTAGAAGCATTCACTTCCATGACGAAGGGCTTCTCAGGATTGGGGTGGATCAGGAGAGGTGCTGAGGTGAAGGCTTGTTGGAGCGTCTTCATTGCCTCAGTAGCTTCTGGGTGATGATACCTTTGGAACTGATGTCATATCCGAGGAACTGGATGGAGGAGTCTTCATTGCCTCAGTAGCTTCTGGGGTCCAGGACAGACTTGGGCCTATGTGGGCCAGGACTTGATAGCATCCACCTTCCTCTCGTCCATTTTGATACCTTTGGAACTGATGTCATATCCGAGGAACTGGATGGAGGACAGATGGAAGGTACATTTCTCAGCTTTGAGATACAGTTGGTGTTTGCAGAGCTTCTTGAGGACCTCTGTAACATGCTGGCGATGTCTGGCCTCGTTCTGGGAGTACACTAGGATGTCATCAATATACACCAGGACGAACCGATGGAGGTACTCCCAGAACACCTCATTCATGTATCCCTAGAATACGGAGGGGACGTTGACTAGTCCATAGGGCATGACCAAGCACTCATAGTGGCCAGTAGGGGTCACAAAGGCAGTCTTCCACTCATCAACCTCACGTATCCGGATGAGGTTGTAAGCACTCCTGAGGTCCAACTTGGTGAAGATCCAAGCTCTGTGAAGTTGTTCCAGGGCTGCAGGGATGAGAGGAAGAGGGTAACGGAATTTAACTGTTATCTTGTTGAGTGCCTGGTACAAGGCCGCAAGCCTCCGTCCTTCTTAGCATAAAAGAAAAACCTGGAAGCAGCAGGGGAAGTGGATGGATGGATGTAGCCTTGTTGCAATGCCTCCTCGATATACTCCTCGATGGCCTTCTGTTTGGGGATGGAGAGAGGATATACCTTGCCTCTGGGCACTGGTTCACTGGGCAGGATTTCGATAGCACAGTCCCATGGTCTATGAGGTGCTAGTTGAGAGGCTCGTTTCGGGCAGAAAACATCACTGAAGTGGGCATAACATGATGGAATATCCACGAATCGCTTCTCGACAGGGCTTTCGATGGAGTTCAGAGGTAGAACTGGAGTCGGGGAGACTGGTCGAGGCAGTTGAGGGAAACACCTGAAGAAACAATCCTTGCCCCACTTAAGAACTTCGCCGGTGGACCACGAGATGGTAGGGTCGTGTAAAATGAGCCAGGTGTGCCCTAGAACGATCCCAGCGGTAGAGTTCTCCAGAACCAACAGGCAGATGTCTTCGGTATGTAGCTGACCGACCTGAAGCTGGAGTGGACCAATGCAGTATCGAACTTTTCCCAGACTGAGGGGACCACCAGTGATGGATTGAATCTTGTATTGAATGTGGTTTACTTTTTTCTTGAGCTGGAGTTGGTTGCATAGGTCTTCAGAGATGAAGTTGTCGGCCGACCCAGAGTCAAGAAGGGCACGAACTGTAACAGAGTGGTGGAGAATAGTGAGCTGAACAATAGTGATGAGTGGATGTACATTACCGGGATAATAGGCAACAATACTCGACATGGGTCTAGGAGGGGTTAGGTTCTGGAGAACTGGGATCCTCTGGCTGGCGGAAAAGGAAAGCCGGTTTTTGGTACCAATTATTCTCCATACAGCCCTTTACTCAGTTGGCGACTCTTATGGACAGTTGAATAAAGCACTCAAGCCCAATGGTGTCTTACTTAAGTAAAGTAGAGCATACATTTTGAGCCATTAATCCACAAGGGAGACCAGACAATGAGGCAGTGAGGAGTGAGTGCTTTTATAGTGCTGGCTGGGCAATGAGATGATCCGTGATAGCATAAGATCCGGTGAGAAGTGACGAACGTGGAAACGCAGAGGAGAGAGCAAAACAAAACACCGGTCATGAATTAGAAGTTTAAAACAAGGATTTGTAAAGAAAAATGCCAGAAGATTTCGATATAAGTCAAGAGTAGACTGGTTTTCCTTTGCTGTAAACAAAACTACTCGTGACACTAGCATATTCTCACCAGAGCTTACGCTATGCCTACGTCCTACATCTTCCGCTGGGCCCCACTCTCTCGTGAACACGCGTATAACAGTTAGTGGAAACTAGAGATTACGGTTTATAAAGTTTTAAATATGGATATTATTCTTACACAAACACATTGATTCACTTCAGAATGCCTTTATTAATCCCCCGGAGCCATGTGGAGCACTTTTTATGATGGATGGACGCACTTTATTGGACTTCAAAATCTCGACACCCATTCACTGCCATTATAAAGCCTGGAAGAGCCAAGACATTTTTAATATAACTCTGATTGTATTCATCTGAAAGCAAAAAGTCATATACACCTAGCATGGTTTGAGGGTGAGTAAATCATGGGGTAATTTTCATTTTTGGGTCAACTATCCCTTTAAGGCATTTTTGAAACCAAAAAGGATTTGTTGTGTTTGTGTTAAGAAACAGTCATGGAAGTGAACTCTCTTTAAGCACACTTAAGTGGAATTTTATTTCAGTTATATTAATTGAAAGTAGAGACCACCGCTACATCAGTCCATTACAGACATTAAAGTCAGTCCTATTAGCCAAATATATTAAAACATAATTCCATTTCAATTAAAAATTACAAATAGTGTTCCAGTGTTTCATACATTGCAAATCTGCAAACCTGTATTTTAAAACTATAAACACAATCAGCACAATCAACATTTTACACCATGCGCTCATGAATAGCATTTTTTTAAACATCAAAACTGTTCACACACCAGTGAAAAACCTCTGGATGTAAAAATAATTTGTTTGGCTTTGTATCCTAACAATGCAGAAAGTGTTTCAATTAAAGTCAGAATTAGAAAAAGGTGGAGGAGGAAGTGAAACGTATATAATGAAAGCCAATTGTCCCTATTCATGTTTATTTACAGTGCAAGGAGCAAAAAGACTAATTGCACTGTATGCTAGTGGGATAATTTTGATATTGCCAATTTTGTAAGTGACTCAACTTATAATAACAATGCTGAAAACCTAGTGAATTATATGAACTCTTTTGCATTTCTCATCATTTTTCAGTAACTGTATGCTTTATGTTTTCTTTTGTCATCAATAGTAAATTGAGACATCAAGCCCAAAGTGAACGCTTTGGATACAGAGAGGTAAGATGCTTTAAAGAGGTCATCTCTTACATTTTTATCATTTAGTTTTTTCCAAATATAATGTTATAATCAAGGCTATTTGTACTAACTGTGTCAACTGCAGGTGATTTTAAAAGGAGACCCGAAGAAGCTGAATCTTCATGGGGTAAGAAACTGCCCTGTCTAGATCCCCAATACTCCTAAAAAAACAGGAAATATCAGGGATTCCCAGGCCTGGAGCAGTCATAGAAAAAAAATTAAATAAATAAATACAAATGAAAATATTATTACAGTTTAAAATAACTGTTTTCTATTTTTTTATATATATTTTAAAATGTCATTTATTCCTGTGATGCAAAAATAGAAAATAGAAAAATTTTAATAATATTTCACAATATTACAGCTGTATTTTTGATCAAATAAATGTAACTTTGGTGAGTGGAAGTGACTTCTTTAAAAAAAAATCCTAATTATTCCAAACTTTTGGCCAGTAGTGTATATATACACTGTAAAAAAATGTAAGTAACGTCACAGTGTTATAAATAACAGATATATTTCTTACTGTAACTACATAAAAACTCTGCAGAAGCCTCTAGTCACAGGACTGATCCAGTCATCTAGTGGCCAGCTTGTACATTCATTCAGTATAGTTAAACACACTTCTTTTTCACAAGGGATGGTCCAAAGGGCCACTGGATTCTGCAGGGTGAATCTTTCACAATGCTGGAACCAAATTCTAATGATGTAATGACTGTTAGCAGTCAGTTCACACACCTGCGTTCCCTCTTACAGAGAATCTAGACACACGACTAGCCCTTAATGTTTCCTGTTTTTGGCCAGTGAATGGTGGACTCAAGTCTGAAACACTGTTAGATTAGTAATCAAACCTGTAGTCAGATGAGAGGAGAGCTATATTTGTGCTCTAATACAGACACGTAACTGATTAGTTCTGTTTGAATGATGTGTTGTTTTCATGTTGTATGTGTTACTGATGAGATTTCACTGCTTGTATAGGGTGCTTCTGCGGTTTGGGACTGATCTACTCCAATAAGACCTGCACTATGCCATCTGTCACCTTCCAGGACCTTCCTCTCAATATCTATATGGTGATCTTCGGCACAGGCATCTTCGTCTTCGTAATCCTAATTATTCCAAACTTTTGGCCAGTAGTGTATATATACACTGTAAAAAAATGTAAGTAACGTCACAGTGTTATAAATAACAGATATATTTCTTACTGTAACTACATAAAAACTCTGCAGAAGCCTCTAGTCACAGTCCTAATTATTCCAAACTTTTGGCCAGTAGTGTATATATACACTGTAAAAAAAAATTAAGTAACGTCACAGTGTTATAAATAACAGATATATTTCTTACTGTAACTACATAAAAACTCTGCAGAAGCCTCTAGTCACAGGACTGATCCAGTCATCTAGTGGCCAGCTGTAGTGTAATATAAAGCCCACAAGCAAGTAAATCTCATCCTGATGTCCTTCTGACTGAATCCCATGATCAAATGTGTTTGAAAAGCTTTCAAGAGTTATTTTTATTTCCACCCATGTTTTTTTCCACTTTTCCTCATTGTTATTTGTGTCTCCACATCCCGTGACGTCCCTCCACAGCAGACCTGTGCCGTGTGCTTGGAGGACTTTAAGGTGAAAGATGAGCTGGGAGTGTTGCCATGCCAACATGCCTTTCACAGGAGGTGAGTAATAAGCTGGAGTCTAACAGCTGGTGTTTCGTAAAGCAACAGCAGCAGCAGCAGCATCCTGCTATTGTTAGCAGCTCTGTGTTAGATACTTCATGTTTACATACACTGGTCTTTTTCTCTTGAACATTCTTTGTTTCCCTATTTAGATATTTCCAGATTATGTGCATCAAAAACCAAAAAAGCTATTTGTAATGAAATATTTGTGATTTATGCCAAATTTGATTTCCTAAATATGTAGCCATTAATAGAGAAAAGATGTGTTTGCCCCCATAATGTGAGGTTAGACATGCTAAGGATGCTGGCGCCTGGCGGTGAATGGATGCTACACTCATCACATCAGATCCTCTGTGAAACGAAAGTACACTTTATGATACTTTTAAAAATAAAACTTATTACTGAAATAAATATACTTTAAGAGAATTCTACTTCAGTGCAAACTGCATGTTTTCAGCCATGTTATTTAGAATTAAATGAAAATTTATTATAATTTTAATTTATTTGAAATGTAATTAGCTGAATCTAAGAGTGAACCATTTAAATGCGATCTTATACCTGTATGTAATTTCATAATTACTTTTATTGTTTTTGAAATATGGATAAAATGTACTCCTGAATGTACTGACAAGCATTTATGGTGAAGCAAAATATACTTTAATGGAATGGTTCACCCAAAAATGAAAATTTGCTTCAAAAGTACTCACCCTCAAGCCATCCAAGATGTAGATGAGTTTGTTTCTTCATCAGAACAGATTTAGTGATGTAACACTACATTTCTCCAAATCTTTAATGTAATTTCTATTGAAAGTGTTTAAATGCATTTGTATTTACACTCTTGTAATGTAAAGTTGAATTTTAAGTACATTTAAAATATATTCACTTTAAAATAATACTGAATAACACACTACAGTTAAATTAGAGTACATGTGCTTTAGTATGTTACGTCAAAATAAGTGTACTTCTTTAAAGCACGACAAAACAATGATTTAAAATTTCAAGTAAAACTTTTAATTTGACATTATTACAAAGTACTTTAACTTTTTAAAAGAGCACTTAAGTGTGTTAAGAAACAGCCCTGTGATATAATCAGCTTCAGCTTCCCCTTTTAACATGAAGTACATGAAGTACATCAACACAGGAATGAAAAAAGGGCAGATTTCAAGTCAAATGCAAAATACATGTTGGTCTGTGTGTTTGCAGGTGTGTGGTGAAGTGGCTGGAGGTGCGCTGCGTCTGCCCCATGTGTAATAAAGCCCTGGCGGGATCCTCCGAGCAGCACCAGAGCACAGGCACACTGCTGGATGAGCTGGTGTAGCGCTCAGAAGCTTCTGGAAAGGGACAAGACTGACATCTGGCTTCAAGACTTTCTAAGGAGTCTTTTTTTACAAACATGAACAGACCTGACTGTGACTCTCACAACTTCTAGGCTAAGGCTTTGTATCTTTTGAGTAAAGAAGCCTTTAATTTAACATTGAATGCTAGCAGGGCTGTTCAGGCATAATGTTGTGATGAATGCTAACCCAGAAGGCTAATTCACCACTGGTTCCCTCAGGAATTTATAAGGGTTTTTTTAATTGATGAGCAAAATAAGGTCTGTGGGAAACACTCATTTAAGATTTATGAACAATTTAAATTTGGAAACCCTCGAGTGCTTTATAAACTCAAGTTGCTACATACAGTATGATCTACAACTACCACAAGGATGTGTGTTTACACATTTGACGAAACGAACAACCATTGTAGTCTTTATGTAGCGACTTTTTAAAGCACACACAAGTTTTGAATTCTCATGTGAGGTATGAATGTGTGTAATTTGTGGTGTGTGCCAAACTGTGCCAAAATTAAATGTAAACAGGCCACTAAAAACCAACTGAAACTCCTGTGAGGAACACTCTTGTCTTCTGGGAATTAGGACTACAAACTGATTATCTGTATTGTAAATGCTCTACATCAGACCCAAAGAACTGGGCCCAAAGAACTTTATTACAGTGTGTGTGTGTGTGTGTGTGTGTGTGTGTGTGTGTTTTACAGCCATCAGTAGTAGTGACGGATGTCTCGTTCATTCTAGATTATGTGTGCACAAATCATGTCATTGTCTTAAGAGAGTTTAAACAAACACTACCACAGTTCCCGGCCACAGAAATTAGCTGCCAGTGAAAACACAAGTGGCTTTCTTTTTGTATTTCAAGTTGTTGTGTTTGTTCACTGTAATCTGGTTGCCATTGTTACTACCTGCAGTGTTTTAGTCAATGTTTTCACACCGAAAAAAAGAAAAATGAACATTTTGAAAGCATTTTTCTGTGCAGAATGTTTCATTTTCTATTATGTACGTGTGCAGCTGTCTTTTATACGACCTTTTAGCGAAGCAAAATATTTTTAAACAATTCATAAATTTCAGTTTAATATATGTGGTTGAACATGACCTTTTTTCATTATATTTAAGTGTAAAAGTGGTCAGCGGAAAGGATGTGCAATGTGTCATTTCATACATATTTATTTATCATTTTTCCTTTCCCTGAGCTGACTTAAAGAAATATTTCACCCAAATGTAAACATCTGCTGACAATTAACTCATCCTCAGGCCATCCAAGATGTAGATGAGTTTGTTTCAGATTTCAGTCACTTGCTCACCAATGGGTCCTCTGCAGTGAATGGGTGCCGTCAGAATGAGAGTATTCTCTTGTAATTTCATCACATACATTGTAAAACAAACACAAAAATGAAGTCATTCATTTGTATAACCTCTAATAATTACTGCAAACATTTATACAGGAGTAAGAAGCATATTTCAAAGAAAAGACAGGGTGAGGTACTACTAGCAAAACTTACAAGACCCAAGTGGAAGAATTATAGTGCAGATTTTATTCAGTTAAACTTAAGTCATTATATGCAGTGTAAAGTTTTATTTTGATCAGTGATTACGATGCAGCAGACTTCATAAGTGAGTAATTGTAGTCCAGATGCTTCAGAATAATATTACTTAACTATGAAGGAATTAGAAATATAGTTAAAAATATGCACAGATCAAGCACTGTTTACAAGCGAAAACAGTCTAAAAGAGTTCTGAACAAATACATGGGAGGATTTTGATGTGAGAGACAACAGGGAATGGACTTTTTCACTTGAGGAAGTGATAATGGATTATGAACCCGTGTTTTGGCCAGAAGCGATGCTTTAAAGTGAAAACACTTAAATTATGAATTGTTTCTTGAAAAAAACACAGCTTTTCACTTCACAAGATGTTAATTGATGGACTGGAGTGGTGTGGATTACTTATTGTGATGTTTGTAACAGCTGTTTGGACTCTCATTCTGACGGCACCCATTCACTGCAGAGGATCCACTGGTGAGCAAGTGATGTAATGTTACATTTCTCCAAATCCTGGATGGCCTGAGAATGAGTACATTTTCAGCAAATTTTCATTTTTGGGTGAACCATTAATTTAAGACCAAGATCAGGAATATTCCACTTTGCATTTTGACCTAAGAATTTAGGACATGTTTAAAATTATGTTTAAATTAAAAGAGTTGATACGAAAAAACAAACATACAAGCAGGGCTGGATTTACGCATAGGCACGTGCCTATGCTCGCTCATCCAGGGGGGCCCAGGCACAATGAAGAGATATATAATATTTTTGTTATACTATGGGCTACCTACAACAGTAAAATAACCAAACCCCAGAATACATTGAGCAAATAAATATAACAAACAATAGGGTAAAAAATGACAAACTATTTCCATGTTTTCCACCTACGGAAATCACGCTTTTTTTTTCGCACACAGACAGGCACTCGCGCACACGCGCGGAGAGACACGAACAGAAACTTCAAACTTGTTGTCAGCGATGCCCCGCGAATTTATCAATAAAATAGTTTCGCAGCTGAAAAGCTACATGACATTTCTCAGTAGCGGGGTTCTTGAAGCAGTTCAACTTAAACAAAAATGTGTTTTGCCTATGTCACCAAAACTATTTCCATGTTTTCCACCTACGGAAATCACGCTTTTTTTTTCACACACAGACAGGCACTCGCGCACACACGCGGAGAGACACGAACAGAAACTTCAAACTTGTTGTCAGCGATGCCCCGGGAATTTATCAATAAAATAGTTTCGCAGCTGAAAAGCTACATGACATTTCTCAGTAGCGGGGTTCTTGAAGCAGTTCAACTTAAACAAAAATGTGTTTTGCCTATGTCACCATAAGAGGTAAATCCGGCCCTGCACAAGTAACTTCCACTTATTTTAAAGATACACCTTCACTTATTCTCAAGTTTTACCACTGCCTGTCTAAGTTTGACATTACAGATTAATTTCAAGGAGACAGATAAAACACAGTAAAAAAAAAATTCAAAATAAAAGTTTTTGTTTGCGTAATGTATGTGTGTGTTTTTTAAGTATATATAAATACACACACATACAGTATATATTTTGAAAATATTTACATGTATTTACATGTCTATAATTAGCGATAGGTGTGATTAGGGGCAGTTCTAGGGTGAGATATCCGGGGCTTAGCCCAGAGACATCAATGTTTGTGTCAGAATACACGGGATACACTTATTTAATGTAGGGCCTATGTGTGTGTGTGTTTGTGTTTAAAAGTTACATTGGCTAAGTGGCTTTTTTTAAAGCCAAGTACAGGCCTAATTAAACATGCAGGGTTCTATACGCTCATTTTATTTTATTTTATTTTTATATTTCTAGCACTTGTGAATGCATTTACACTGCACTTACAAATTGCATAAATAATGTTATGAGATTAATGTCTTAAATAAAAAAACTGGAATATAGAAATATGAAATTATAGAAAAAATTATATTTTTAAATATGAAACTAAAATTACCAGTAGGTGACGGCAAGCCTAATGAGTGAGTCTCTGAGTCATTTATTCAATCGATTCTTTCAAAACGCCTGATGTTTCTATATGAATGGATCAGTGAATCATTGACTCACTCGATTTGTTTAAAAGGCAAATTGATTCAGTAAGGAAACACCGCTGCGTGTTGCTGCAGAGACGCACACCATGGCTTTGTTTGGAGCCATTTTCTTTAGCTAAATAAAGCAAAAAAGAAGGGACAATATTGTCTCTACAGTTTAAATCACTTAATATTTTTTTCTTGTTCATTTAATTTTTCCCTGACACAAAGAAAAGTCTGCCACCACAGCCCATGCTAACCAAACCATTCATATAATTTCTCTAAATGCTTATGTGTGTCCATGCAAGACTGCATCAAATAATTCTAATTAAATATCTATATTTGTTTCTTCACAGTGACAGTGCTCTGTAACAAATAACCTATTTGGACAAATGGCAAAGTCGGTATTATAGATAAGTTATTACTGATCCCTGGCCTGAAGCAGCTGCTACAGCTTCTGATCGCTGGTTGGCCAGTTTACATGTCAATCAGAAGTCCGAGCCTCAGTGGGCGGTTCTTGTCAGGAGTGAATGACAATGTAAGTAAACACTGTTAGATGTGCAGAGAGCAACTCTGCGGTTCTAGAAATGATTTTAATGCTCATGAAAACTCAGTGATGATGCGTACAGGGCATAGTAATCAAAACATTGGGTGCTTAGGTTGCGATTAATTTAATACCACTTCCCATTAGTGATGTGTCGTTAGTGAACGAGTCGGACTCCTTTAAATGAACAAAACGAGTCGGCTCCCATCTGAGAGCCACTTTCTAAGACTCTCAGCGTTGTTGTTGTTGTTTTAACTTTCTCAATACAAGAGAAAAGATGATTTTTGCCACACTGTTTGTTATCCACGCGCACTTCATGCACTTTGATGTGTACAGTGTACATGATGATTCTCGCTCGCACAAACACATCAACAGTTAACACAGGTGCACAATGTGACAGGGTTAATAGATATAACGATACAACTGTGATGGATGCTTCTTTTTTGCACACTGTAATTTAGTTTTTATCTGCTATATGGCACACCATGTTACATTTTGAGTATGATTTGCAGTTTGTGTTTTGGATAGTTCACTACCCTGAGAGCACATAGGCTACCCTTGAATACATCACATATATTTAATGTCTGCATTTACATCTGCAATATGTATTTTTAGAGTGTTTGCAACATGTCTCTAAGATAGGGTGACCAGACGTCCCCGTTTTCCGGGGTTTTTGGTGTCCTGTCCCCGACTGGAGCTGTCGCGGAAATGTCACCGTTTTACAGCACGTTCAACACAACCAGAAGACTCTCAGCGTTGTTGTTGTTGTTTTAACTTTCTCAATACAAGAGAAAAGATGATTTTTGCCACACTGTTTGTTATCCACGCGCACTTCATGCACTTTGATGTGTACAGTGTACATGATGATTCTCGCTCGCACAAACACATCAACAGTTAACACAGGTGCACAATGTGACAGGGTTAATAGATATAACGATACAACTGTGATGGATGCTTCTTTTTTGCACACTGTAATTTAGTTTTTATCTGCTATATGGCACACCATGTTACATTTTGAGTATGATTTGCAGTTTGTGTTTTGGATAGTTCACTACCCTGAGAGCACATAGGCTACCCTTGAATACATCACATATATTTAATGTCTGCATTTACATCTGCAAGATGTATTTTTAGAGTGTTTGCAACATGTCTCTAAGATAGGGTGACCAGACGTCCCCGTTTTCCGGGGTTTTTGGTGTCCTGTCCCCCCGACTGGAGCTGTCGCGGAAATGTCACCGTTTTACAGCACGTTCAAAACAACCCGCTAACACACTGTAAACGTGTGATTGTGATTATTTTCACCAGCAGAGGGCGCTGCGCGCTATACTGATTACTTGGTCGCGCGCCGCCACTTTAGTCAAGATTTGTTTTTAATGTGTTTTTGTAAAGCCGTAATTTTGTTATAATACTGTTTTGATATGTTTGCTATTTGCAAAGGTTGCTATTTATATTTTTCATAGTGTGATTTTTGGTGAATTGTATTAAAAAACTAGGGTAAGTTTGATCCTCATACATCACTGTAATTATTAATTATGATATTTATGGAACCCACAAAAACGAAAAAAAAACATACAAAAATATATTGTCCCCGTTTTTTAATTGGTAGATAATCATTACAAAGTGAGATTTCAGTGATATGTTGACCACTGAACTAGGAAATGTCCCCGGTTTTCATTTCAGAAATCTGGTCACCTTGCTCTAACGTTTGCTATTAGATGTCTTGAAGATGTTTATGATTTAGAATGTATGTAAATCAGTTTTTTTTTTCTTCTTCTAAGACGTTTATCAGATGTTTTTACACAGCAGATGTTTCCCAGATCAAGCACTCTTTAGCAGACATCTTAAAGACGTCTGTGCAATCTGGATATTAATGTTCTGGATTTTTGGTGAATTGTATTAAAAAAACTAGGGTAAGTTTGATCCTCATACACCACTGTAATTATTAATTATGATATTTATGGAACCCACAAAAACAAAAAAAAACATACAAAAATATATTGTCCCCGTTTTTTAATTGGTAGATAATCATTACCAAGTGAGATTTCAGTGATATGTTGACCACTGAACTAGGAAATGTCCCCGGTTTTCATTTCAGAAATCTGGTCACCTTGCTCTAACGTTTGCTATTAGATGTCTTGAAGATGTTTATGATTTAGAATGTATGTAAATCAGTTTTTTTTTCTTCTTCTAAGACGTTTATCAGATGTTTTTACACAGCAGATGTTTCCCAGATCAAGCACTCTTTAGCAGACATCTTAAAGACGTCTGTGCAATCTGGATATTAATGTTCTGTAATTTTACGTAATATAAATATAAATATAATGTTCTGTGTTTTTACGCAAATTAGGTTTTTGGTTTTTATACCAAAAATAATGTAAAATTGTGATATTTCGGAAAGGCGAATGGAGCCAGAAATAGGCTGTGACAAAACGATTTGAATTGTGTAAATCTGAATTATAGCGTAATTTAACAAAACGGAATATTACATGGCATTATATATATTTTAGTTTTTTTTTTTTTTTTAATGGTTTAGTTTAATTACTTTGAATAATTTAATTATATTTGCGCACACATACCAGACATAGGTCAAAACACTGACAAATTAGGCTGAATTATAAAAGCCGGAAGTGGTACTAAATAAAGAGCCGTTTGGGAGCCGGTTCTTTTGCTGAGCTGAGCCGAATGATCCAAACGATCACCTCTTCCCGTTTGCCCAAGCCATTACGCGATTGGCTGGCGAGGCGCACGTGATCACCATGACGCTATGCGGAGGTCAGCGTCGCGCAGGATGTTCGGCAGCAGAGGGCGGTGTCGCGCAGGACCTCCCAGTCCTTCCCGTGCTGTTTATTTCAGGAAACGGGACAGTCAGTAAATACAACCACATTCTCGGGTGGCACACGAACCGCAGACGAAGGAAAGCATGCTGAAGGTTGTGTGAGCAGGACGCGAAGATGGTGTTTGAGTCAGTGGTGGTCGATGTCTTGAACCGGTTTCTGGGGGACTATGTGGTGAACCTCGACAGCTCGCAGCTCAGCCTCGGCATATGGGGAGGTAAACCTGCCAGGTGTCAAATCCAGATACCTCTGTGCTGTTTGATTTGTGTGTGTGTGTGTGTGTGTGTGTGTGTGTGTGTGTGTTCACGATTATACAGCACTGTATGCTTGCTTACGTTGAAGAGTCATGCAGGTTTGAACATGCGTTTACAGTAAGCCTTAACTAAAAGCCAACCCAAAACTACGTGCATAATTTGGTGCTTTAAACAGATTGTTATTGAATATAGCAAAAATGATGTTGATGAGCTATACTGAGCTATTTGTGACTCTGAATTAGTATGTTATTACCTTGACTAGTAGAGTTTAACCCCACATGTAAACTCATGTCATCTGTTCAGTCCCATGTGGCTCAAAAATGTTCAGCTGCTTCTTTGCAGTGACAGTTAATGACTTTTTTTTTTTTTTTTTTTTTTTTGTGTGTGTGTGTGTGTGTGTGTGTTCACGATTATACAGCACTGTATGCTTGCTTACGTTGAAGAGTCATGCAGGTTTGAACATGCGTTTACAGTAAGCCTTAACTAAAAGCCAACCCAAAACTACGTGCATAATTTGGTGCTTTAAACAGATTGTTATTGAATATAGCAAAAATGATGTTGATGAGCTATACTGAGCTATTTGTGACTCTGAATTAGTATGTTATTACCTTGACTAGTAGAGTTTAACCCCACATGTAAACTCGTGTCATCTGTTCAGTCCCATGTGGCTCAAAAATGTTCAGCTGCTTCTTTGCAGTGACAGTTAATGACTTTTTTTTTTTTTTTTTTTTTTTTTTTT